TATCTCCTCTTACAGGAGATCCTCGAGGCTTATTTTTACTTCAAAAGACAAAACACCATCATTAATATTATGGAGTTTCACTTCAAGTACTTCTGCTCTTCTTGAATTCTCTTATTGACTGTTCGTGTGGTTCGTATTCCTTCACGTACTATTCATACTATGCATGATCCTTCCACTCTCCCACCAGTTTTCGCCATTTTCATTTCTCCGTCTTCTTCCTCCAACGCGGACTAAAACCCTGAGCCGTCTGTCTATATGTTAACCCTGCAAAGACCCAACACTGGCGTCCAAAGCGACAATCAAGAAGAAGATGACCAACAAGTCAGAGACATCCACGCTTTAACCCCGCCTCACGCCGCCGCCGCCGCCAGCCGTACCCGTTGGGATCAGACCAGCCGCCGATCGTCCTCCATGTCCATGACCAGCGAAGCTGGAAGCTCCACCGAGAATTTCACCACCATGAGCAGAGAATTCAACGCTTTAGTCATCGCCGGCTCCTCCATGGATAACAGCAGCAGCAACAACAACAACGACATGCTCACCAACGGCGACAACCAGTACTTGTCCAGGATTGGAGAGGAAGATGATCGTGATCAGGAATTGGAGACCAACCCTTTGGCCATCGTGCCCGATAATAGCAGCCCACTTGACCGGGTTCCGGATCCGGTGCTGGTCGGGGGTGGGTTGGCGGGTGGCGGGAATGGTGAGGTGGCGACGCCGTCGGTGCAGAGGGTGAAGAGAGAGGAGGTGGAGACTAAGATAACGGCGTGGCAGAACGCGAAGGTGGCGAAGATTAATAACAGGTTTAAGAGGGAGGATGCGATTATTAATGGGTGGGAAAGAGAGCAAGTGCAGACGGCTACTTCTTGGATGAAGAAAGTTGAGGTATGTGATTAATTATTTAATTAATTACAGATTATAAACTAATTAAATGATTTCATCATAATTAGTAATAATTAATCTTCATGCAGTGATTAATTATAGCGTTATGATTGAGCTGATGATTATGATGGTAGTTAGCTAGTTGAGACTAATAATAGTTCCAGAGGACGATGACGAATGGGTTCTAATCATCTGAGAATTTACAATACATACATACACACACATATATATATATACATATATAGATGTACATATATGATTGTCCGTACACACATATATATATATATATATATATTGATTTTTCTTTTTTTTTAAAAAAAAATTAGTGGTTAGTAAAGAATCGAAAGTAAATTTAAATTAACGGTAAGGGCAACACTACGCGATTAGTACCCACATAAATGGATTAATTAATGATTAGAGCACTCAATTTGATATATTTAATTAATAATTATGATTAAACAACTTGGGAATGTTAATTATCCATGTGCAGAGGAAGCTAGAGGAGAAAAGAGCAAGGGCACTGGAGAAGATGCAAAACGACGTCGCAAAAGCACATAGAAAAGCAGAAGAGAGAAGAGCATCAGCTGAGGCCAAGAGGGGAACCAAAGTGGCCAGAGTTCTTGAAATTTCCAATTTGATGAGAGCCGTCGGTAGAGCTCCTGGCAAAAGATCCTTCTTTTAATTACAACAATAATATATATATATCTATATCTATATCCAATGTAAATATATACATATATATCTACTGTATAAGTCTGTCCTATCTATACCCCCCCCCCCCCCCAACAAGGGATACTAGAGGTTGTGGACGTAAGACTTGCCCCATTTTGGAGGGCTCCTTCATCTTTTGGTTACAGGAGTAGCACCATCTCAGATGGGGCAGCAAAGAATTGAATTATGATTACCATTAAAATTTATAATTAGTTGATTAAGCATGTATTAAGTACTGAGACTTAATTTCAAGGCATGTCTTGAGTATTTCAAGTGTGTAATTGGGATTTTGGGTGAGGGTTTATTTGGTAATGGTGGTGAAAAAAGCAAATTGGAAATATGATTTTATTTTACCTGATTTGATTGGATTATATACATATAGATAATAAGTTAGTCAAATTTGTGTCGGTGTAATTTGCGTAAAACTGTATTAAATTCCACCAAAATGATTAGATTTCCTTATTGAACACAGTTCATTTTGACATTTTCATCCCTCGAATAGTGTCAAATTTAATGCGAATGCTAATAATTTTATCAAAAGTTTATCTTTCGTTTAATCGTCTTTAATTTATTAGTGTAAACATAAAAAAACCAATAGAGTTTCAGAGATTTGTTGATTAGATCATCAAAGATTCAATAGAGGTCTTTAAAAAAAGTGTAATGCCAAGAAAAGCATAAAACTAAGATGCCTTTTTCAAGCACGAGCCAAGTCCACAGCAAAAATGAGTCACCTTCAAATAGTTGTAGAAGAAAACAGCTAAAGATTTGATTCACCGTCAAGAATCTTGTATTGTGTTACTTTCTTTGATTTATATATATATATATATATATATATATATATATGTTATAGATTATGTGTGATTTTAATATTACGAAAAGAAAAATATCTTCACTAAGATCACTTACCCTCATCGTCCACTCTCTAATCTGCAATAGAAAAGAACAGAAAATCCAACAGCACTACTTCAATAATATAATCAATCTAGTCGGTGCACCTGAAGCTTGGCCGCGACAAGTGCCGTGTTCTTTGCAAGAAAAGAAAAAATCTTCTACCAAATCTTTGTCAAGAGAAATTTTAACTTTAGATTGAAATATTTCGGAGTAATCTATTTACCTGTTAATGGAATAACCATCACGACAACCAGACGTTCTTCCAACTTATTCTTTTCTTTTCCTACGACCTTTTTGTTTTCCGAACTTGCATAGAAGAGGAAATTTATCTATTCAAGAGAGATCATAGATATATTTGACCATCAAAGGCTATTAGCAGAGAGATTATTTGCTCGGTCATCAAAACTTGGTTCAAACTGTATTCTTAAAAGAGAAAATCATTCATAGATTCTCTGATATGCATACATTGTATGGACACTTTCAAGAACATGTGGATGCCATTAATCATGACTGGTCTTTTGGAGAGGAACAGTGAGAATATTTAACTAACTCAGTAATACCTACAATTGTGAAATAAAGTATTGATGATTTACCTTCGATTTCTTCTCCTATATGGTAAACTCTCGTAGTATAGTCCGGGCATTCAAGCTTATTAAGCTGAATAAATATATAAGCCAGTGCAAATATAGGATCCCAAGCATTAAAAGTGTGAATAACAAATACCCATAGAGGTGGGTTCCTTGTGCTAAGCTCCAGTCTCTTGTTGTCTTCATCGAGTTACGATCACTTCAATCTTAGGGTGGCTTCATATATGTTATCTTGTCACTTCTCGAGGTTTTTCCCCCCTAAATAAAAAAGGGGTAGAAAAGGGCTACCAGAATAGCCAACGCTCCTTCACTATTGTCACTGGGATTTTACCAGCTGTGGAATATTCAGTTTAGACCATAGCCATCTACCTGACTGTGAGGCTGTCATCCTGATCCCACCAAGATGAAAGCAAAACCTTCCCAGTTAATGCAATCAAGTAATATAACAGGAATCTTCCTGAAAGCCACTAGCCAAAGGGGTGGGAAACGTATCTTTAATTGATTGAAGCATATTAGAATTTATTATGAAGCTTGAGTCAGAAGATGCTCTTATCCCCCTCTTCTATCTATGGATCTTCTTATGTTAAGTAGAGATCAAATTTACTGTCATATCCTAGCTCCATCTCATGCTTCAAAAGATCCAGCTTTGCATAAATTTCGCCACTTTCTGGATGGCTTCTGCTGCTTGCCATGAAATGGTGAACCTTATTATCAATCTCAAGCCAGCTACAACCTGCTTCTTTACTTAATTTTAAGTCATCCATAGTTGTTCTGAACTTTGCTGCCTCATCTAGCATCCCTTCTCCAGCATACATATTTGAAACGAGTATGTAAGATGCTGCCTCATTAGGTGCCAACTCAAGCAAATGTTTTGAAGCTACCATGCCAAAGTTCAGATCTCCATGTAACTTACATACATTGACCAGAGTCCTCCATAGCAGAGGTGAATCAGGAAAAGGGCTTTTGTAAATGAAATCTACAGCTTCTGACAATTGTCCGGCCCGGCCCAAAAGTTCAACCATGCAAGCAAAGTGCTCAATTACAGGCGTAATCCCATATTTTGACTCCATGTCACTGAATAAGTGTAATCCGTGCTTCCATAATCCAGAGTAGTTACAAGCTTGAAGAACAGCCAGTACTGTAATCTCATCAGGTGCAAACCCCAATCTTTCAATCTCTTGAAAGACCAGGATTGCCTTTTCACCTTGCCCGTGAAGGGCATATGCTGAAATCATTGCATTCCAAGAAACAAAGTCATGGTTTTTCATACCATTAAACATTTTATAAGCATCTCCAATGCTCCCACATTTGGCATACATGGTAACTAAAGCATTCCCTACAGTCAAATCAGCTCCAAATCCTGTTTTAATGGTGTAACCATGAATGCTTTTTCCTTTGACTAAACAAGCTTGTTTAGCAGATAAGCTAAGCAGCCGTGAAAAGGTCACATTGTCTGGTTGAATACCAGCTAATCTAAGCTTGTTAAACAGAACAAGAACATCTTCTTCGCCATTCCCATCCATTTCCGTTAAAACAACTAGAATTGCATTGAATAAAGTTACATTTTCAGGGGAGAAACTGTTAAAAACTATTCTTGCAGACTGTAAATTACCACATTTTGCATATAAATCAACTAAAGCAGTACCAAGAATGATGTCCCATGTCAGGCCATGTTTTATAACAAATCCATGGACTTGATATCCCAATTCAAAATTATTGCATTCTGAGCAGGCATCAAGCACAGTAGCCAAACAACTAGAGTCAAAAAGAAATTCGAGGTTGAGCAATAACAAGAATCTATCAATCGCCTTTTCACTGAGACCATTCTTCACATAGACCGACATAAGTGCAGTCCATGAAATCAAGTTATTCCTGTCATTCATTGCATCAAACATTGTTTCAGCCTCTTCTACCATTCCATTCTTTCCATACATTGCAATCACTGCATTTCCAACTGAGATTTCACCCAAAAAACCATACTTGGCAGCAAGTCCATGCAATTGCCTACCTACCTCAATGCCTACATTTTCAGTTCCAGCACTTATTATGTTACTAAATGTATAGTCACTTGGCTCAAAACCTACAGTAACCATATAATCAAACACTTGAATAGCCTTCTTTCCATATCCAGCTTTTCCATACTCTAAGATCATATAATTCAGACACTGTACATCTTTATTAGCTATATCATTGAACACTTTCTCTGCTTCATCAAAAACACCAGTTTGTTTATACATAGCAATCAAAGAGGTACCCAAAACAACATTGTCGTAGAGCCCATTTTTAATAGCGAACCCATGGATTTGCTCTCCTTGAGCCCGGTCCTCTAGCAAACTACATGCCCGTAAAATCACCGAGCAAGTATGCTCGTTTAACTTCTCTTCAGAGCGATACATATCCCTCGCAACCAGAAGCACAGACTTCAAATCACCGCTCTGCAAATACCCATTTATTAATGAAGTCCAAGTAATGGTATTTCGAATAGGCATTTCATCGAACACCCGTTCTGCATCATCCAGTCTATCAAATTTCGCATAGAAATTAACGAGATTATTTCCCTGAAAAGGGTCATCTTTCTGAAAACCAGATTTCACTAAGAACCCATGAATGGCCTGACCCAGCTGGAAATCTCCACACCCAATTGAACTCTTAAGGAGCTGAGACCAGTTGTCAGAGATAGGAGTCTGCTCAGCGCATGAACCAGTGGGAATTGAACAAGACTGGGTTGTTCTGGTTGTGGAGCTTCGTGGATTGCACGTGAGAATAAAGCAGGAAGTGAAGTTGTTTCCATGAAAGTGCTTTGTTTTCTGTGAAATGGAGAACTTTCGAGGATTACATGGACATGGCAAGGTTGCAGGAAACAGGGTAAGCATGGCCGGGAACTTTTTAGTTAATACCTAATGGTGCAGCCAAAACGGTGCGTCGTAAGAACCAGCATTTTCTTAAATGATATTTTTATGTTTATTGAAAAATTTCAGAAATTATATATTCTATAAAACGAAAATCAAATTCCCTAAGTGACATTTTTTTTTTCCATTTTTTAAATATTTTTATATTTTAAATAATTTTAAAATATAAAAATAAAATAAATATAATACTTATAAAAAATTTAACCCGATATATAATTTAATCTTAGTTTAAATTAAAATGATAATATATCTAACAAATAAAATAAAATTAAAGTAATAACATTTATAATATTATTGCATAAAATTGTGTTTAAAGAAAAATAATATCCTTTTTTGGGTTGGGCCTTTCGGGTATGGGTTGGGGTTAGAAACTTAAAACCCGTTCAAATTGCGGCCTCAAGATGGATCGAGATTATGTACACCCCACAATCAGGTGGGCCCACAGTGGTGACGTGGCAGAACTTGGGCCTTCCAGTTCGTTTAAAAAGCGCCTGGTCTAGCATCAGCCGCCCCAGCGTTTTTAACGCCATTCCCTCACGAACGTCAGCCTCTCTTGCCAAATCCATTTCTCCCTTTCTCTCTCGCTCTCTCTGTGGATTGCGGGAGCGAGCGAGCGAGCGAGCGAGCAAATGGAAATGGCAGTAGTAAGCATACACTCCTCTCCATCTTCTTCACTAATTTGCCCTAAACCAGTAGCAGAGCCCCGGGCTATCCTTTACTCACTAAGCAGCTGTTCGGTCTCAGCTTGTCTTCCTCTTCATCCGCAACAAAGCACCAAGCAGCTCTCAAATTCCGTTCGCGGAGTCAAAATCATCGTCCTCTCAGATGCTCTGCTTCTCAGGCCGTTGAAACTGCTAGTGGTATTAATTCTTCTATCTCTCTGTGTTTGTGTTTCGTTGATTTTTTTTGGTCGTGCTTTTGTTTTTCATTTGTCTGCGGTTATAGAGTATTTTCTTTCATATTTTTATCTTTCTTCGTTGATCATCGTATTGTTTGCATTAGTTTATAATTAGAACTTATGGAAGTTTTCGGAAAGTAAAAGAAGTTATACATGGAGATAAGTGAATCTTTTTTTTTTCTCTCTCCCAAAATTTGAATCGGTTCTAGTTTTATATGAGAGAAGTCGAAGTAACATGTATCAGTATAAGTTAATAAATTTTACATTTATGTTTCATCACAAAATTAAAGTAAAAACTATATATCCACGTTAATTAGTAATTTTAGTAGTTAGTTTTGGTTTGTTAATGCAATGCCCGAGCTTCTGATTGTGTGCTATATGTGTATATTCAATATCTTGGCACTTTCTGGAAGTTTCCTGACATATAATTCTGGTTCTGCCTTAGAGAAGAAGACTCAGTTAATGAGAAGAAGCGATATAAGGAATATAGCTATTGTAGCGCATGTAGATCATGGAAAAACAACTTTGGTTGATGCAATGTTGAAGCAAGCTAAGGTAACAATTGAATGGCCCGATAAATTCATGTTCTAATTACTTTTTCCTTTGTGCAAATATATATACACAATCTACCTCTTGCCATTGGGTAAATTCTTTTTGGTCACTGTCAATCATGGGACACCTATGAAGTGCACTTGAAATGATAATCTGAGTTTGCAATGTTCATTGCTGATCCATGTCAAATTTGAACGTCAGCATTTCTTGTAGTCTATTCGAAAAGTGACGGTGATTATGTCTGTGAATTGCTTGTTGCACTAACCTCTTTAATCTGTTCACTTAATGCATGCTTGTTATAAGTTCAGAGCATCTTCAGATGCTTAGATCTTTTTTTTTGGTTTTTTTTTTTTGAGAATGAGGTGCTGAAAAATACATGGTGCAGAGAAATGCCCGAGCCCTTTCCTGGAAGTTATTTGTTTAATAGGAATAGTCTTTTGAGTTCATTATAGGTATTATGAAGTCTGTGTTCACTATATCTCCTTCCCTGAAGACCATAATGCTATCAAAATGATAATGATATTGACTTCTGTTGCTAATTATTTCATGCAGGTCTTTCGCGATAACCAGTTTGTACAGGAAAGAATAATGGACTCGAATGACCTTGAGCGGGAAAGAGGAATTACAATACTAAGCAAAAATACTTCTATAACATATAAGGATACAAAAATCAACATTATAGATACTCCAGGACACTCTGACTTTGGAGGTGAAGTTGAACGCATTCTCAATATGGTTGAAGGGGTTCTCCTAGTGGTGCGATTACACTTTCAATTAGTTGGATCATTTTATCCTCACTGCTTTTAAATTTTTATGTCAATGATTTTCAGACACTGTCTTTTATTTATAGGTGGATTCTGTTGAGGGTCCAATGCCGCAGACAAGATTTGTTTTAAAGAAGGCACTTGAGTTTGGCCTAGCAGTTGTTGTTGTTGTCAACAAGATTGATAGACCTTCTGCTCGGCCAGATTTCGTTATTAATTCCACTTTTGAGCTATTTATTGAACTAAATGCATCAGATGAACAGGTACTTTATTAATGAGTCACAAAAATGAAAATTCTGTATGCTGGTTACAATTCCTAGGTAGTTTCTGAAGGCCAATGAAAATGAACGAACTTAAGAAACAGCTTCTTATGATGTAATCTCAGTGCTCTATCTATTCCGGATGCAGTGTGATTTCCAAGTAATATATGCGAGTGGTATCAAAGGAAAGGCAGGACTGTCTCCTGACAAGTTGGCAGAAGATCTTGGACCTCTTTTTGAGGCTATAACTAGATGCATACCTGGACCACGAATTGACAAAGATGGTGCACTACAAATGCTTGTCAGTACTTAATCCTAGTATTGCTGTTTCAATCTTTATTTTGACTCTTTGCTATATAGTGATTTTGTGGTCAGTATTGCTTTGTGTAATTTGGATGCATGACATATAAAGACATGCTACAACTACATGCCACCAAATTATTCATGGTCATTTATAATTTGGATGCATGAGATATAAAGACATGCTACGACTACTTGCCACCAAATTGTTAAAGCAGACTGAAACTTTTCCATTGATGTCTAATATGGTATTATCTCCTAAATTAGTGCTTTCTGATTTTTTTTCCTTACCTGAATCTGAAATGACAGCTGATATACAAGACTGAGCTCAAAATTTTCCTTTCATGTTGTTTAGTAAAAGTCTGGTGAACAATGACTAGTAACTTACGGATTAAGACTAATATAAGGAAGAAAAAAAGACTTGTAGTTGCCATCTTACTGTATATTTTATTTCACATGAAAATTTTCAACCTATTTTGGGCTTCGGCTGTCAGTTTGTTAATTAATTACAATTCTTTTTCTTATCAAAAGGGGAAATATAATCATTCTAAACTGAGTTCCAATTGTTAAAAGTTTTGCGGCTTCTCCTTTCATTCTGGAGACCACTACTTTTACTAATGACCATATTAGAATTATATTGAAAAAAATAAAATTATATTGAAAGGTAGAAGAGAAGGCAAAGAAATTATTAGAATCTGGCTACAATTGAATATTTATCACCATGATTACTTGGGATTTTGGGCCATGCCATTCAAATTCTTTGAAATAGGACAGTTTTATATGTTAGCTTTAACACGATTGCTATTTGGCTGTGTATTTCATCATAAGCACAATCTAGCTTGGTCTTAATCAAACTAATGGTTATTTAAATCAGGCAACAAATATTGAGTATGATGAACATAAAGGGCGTATTGCTATTGGGCGCTTGCATGCAGGGGTTCTGCGGAAAGGAATGGATATCAGGGTGAGTTTGCTTCACATCTGCCTAGTTTCGGTATTTTTAACTATATTAAGCATGCGTATGCAATGACCTACTCATGATTAGAGGTTCTAGCTTTGCCAAAAGTCATAATTCATAAATGGTAATAGAGTATCTGTTTAATGACCTTTATTGGCACTTCCTAGCAATTAGTGGTTCTATTTATATATTGTCTTAACTTTTTTCCCTTATGGATATAATAAACATTAATGTTAAGGAACCGTTTTAAACCATTCATCGTATTACTATTCTAAGAACTTTTCTTTTTTTCTTTTTTACTTTTTTTTACCTTAAGATTTGAAGATTTTTACAGGTGTGCACCACGAAAGATTCATGTAGATATGCAAGAGTTAGTGAACTTTTTGTTTACGAGAAATTTAGTAGAGTTCCTGCTGAAAGTGTGGAAGCTGGTGATATTTGTGCTGTTTGTGGAGTTGATGATATTCAGGCAAGAGCTTATTTACATGTTTCAATTTTCTTGTTTCTTAGATATGGCATTTATCAATCTCAGTTCTTTAGTTGCCCTTTTTTCCTTAAAAATTATGAATGGTTTCATTTCTTTGGTCAGATTGGGGAGACTATTGCTGATAAAGTATCTGGAAAGCCGTTACCTGCTATTAAGGTGGAAGAGCCAACTGTGAAAATGTCCTTCTCTATAAACACTTCCCCGTTTGTTGGTCGTGAGGTATGCGTATCAAAGAGGAATGTAATACTTTTGAAAGAAAAGTAAAATGATTTTGTCTATTTAAAAATTGATTGAGATAGTACGATGAATGGATAATTAAATGAACTCAGCAATTTGATTGACATGATTGTCTCTTTGAAAGCCTTTAGTCCCCATATTATTTATGCCTTCAGCTTGGTGGGCATCTTTTTCTTGGTACGGTTTTCTTTGATAATGGTCTGTATCGAAGTTGATTTTCTGCTTCATGGAAAGTATGTACGAGCCGGGAATTTACGAGATCGTCTCTACCGTGAACTTGAGCGGATCTTGGCTATGAGAGTTGAAGATGGTGAGACTGCAGATACATTCATTGTCAGTGGTCGTGGTACCTTACATATTACCATACTAATTGAAAACATGTAAGTATAAGCTCGTCTTTTATCCTCATATTTCTTCGGTATGCATATCATTACATGGTAGTGCTTTCCAGGCGAAGAGAAGGATATGAATTTATGGTGGGACCTCCTAAAGTTATTAACAAGAAGGTGGATGACCAATTGCTGGAGCCTTACGAGGTAAGTTTCCAGTCATCTTTTAATTGCATTCAAGGAAAAATGTTGAAGGATGACATAGATATTGTGCTTTGATGTTCTATTACTTTTCTTCCTTTACTGCTAATTACTTGAGCGCCTCAAAACTTGGTGTTATTTGCATATTGTCTTATGTGACAGTGTCAAATAAATTTTATGTTATGTATTTTGTTGTATTAAGTTATATGATGCTGTATATTGATATTAAAGTATACTGATAGACTCGTTATTGATGAGGTAAATGATGCCAAATTAATAATAACACCATTTTACCTTTTTTCCGTTCCTTTTTTTCAGATTGCCACTGTTGAAGTACCAGAAGAACACATGGGTTCTGTGGTTGAACTTCTTGGGAGAAGGCGTGGGCAGATGTTTGATATGCAATCTGCTGGGTATGCATGTTACTCTTTTTTGTTACTTTTTTTCTTTATCCTCGATGCAGGCTGATGAACTAAAAGTTTAAGTCACTTTTATTCATTTGTCATCGCTAATTTAAACAGTCAGATCTAGTTTCCCTTATGCATGGATGACAAAGGATGTTTAAATGTTTGCCCACTAGATCTCTAGTCTAGCTTACCTTTGAGGTGAACCATGCTCATTCTCATGGGATGCAAAATTTTGTTAATTTCTAGTTGTTCAATTGATGGCACTCAAGCGTGATTTGTGGCAGCTGTTGAATTTACACCTTTTTCAGCGTGATGATATAGTAGGCTAACCTAACAGTGTTGACTTTCTCATTTAACGTCTAGGTTGGAAGGAACAACACTGCTTAGATATAAGATTCCAACACGGGGTCTTCTTGGATTGCGAAATGCAATTTTAACAGCTTCTCGTGGAACAGCAATTCTAAACACAATATTTGACAGCTATGGACGTTGGGCTGGTGATATTACTACCCGGGATCAGGGTTCATTGGTAATTTCTGATATTGTGACTATTTTGAATAACTTAGGGTGAATACAAGTGTTCTCAGTCTGGAGGGTTTTGTTTGATTACAATTATAGTTTTAAGCAGTAATTTTGTTCTAGTTAATATCATTTTGCTGTTTGCCACTCTAACATGCTAAATGCCAAGAATTCTGTTGTCCTCTTCTTGTTTATATTCATATTTTTGGAATATCTGTGATTAATGAAATGTCAAATAGTCCCGCCTATTTCAATCTTACCGAATATAAAATATCATGCAACTGATTTTCAGGTTGCCTTTGAGGATGGAACATCTACTTCTTATGCCCTTTCCAGTTCACAGGAGAGAGGACAGATGTTCATTGGTCCTGGAGTGGATGTTTACAAAGGTCAGATAGTTGGCATCCATCAACGACCTGGGGACTTATCCCTCAATGTTTGCAAGAAAAAAGCGGCTACAAATATTCGTTCCAACAAAGAACAAACAGGTAACTAGTTCTGAAATGTTGGTTCACTCTCTTCTGTTATGCATGAGAGTAAATATGGTGGTTTGTTAAATGTTCTGGCAACTTTATAGATAATAGATGATACAGGATTGCATGTAAAGTGACATGGAACAACTCGAGCTCTAACTATTTTGCCATTGCATGAAACCTTTGTTTTAGTTCCCTTGTATCACAACTTTCTTTCAACATATGTTGGAGTGTATTTAGAGTATGCACTGCATGAAACTTGGCCTTGAAAGAAAAGACATAGCTCAAAGTCCAGTCCTGGTCATTTTCCTTGAGCATAAGCCACAATGGAAGTCACCAAGATAGTACCCTACTTCCTGCTTGTAAAGTTAACGACCAAGCCCTGTCTGGTTGGAAAGTGCTAACGTAGTTAAGAAATAAAAATTTCTGTAACTTGGATGTTCTGCTTGTTCATTTTTGTGCTGCAATTGTCCAGTACCAAGTGAAGAAATCTTCTAGCAGCTTTAGTAAGCTATAATTGGTTGTAGTATCCCGTCTTCTGTGTCTTTCCCCTTTTAGATTTGCATGATGCATTGAGAAAATGGGACCACAAGTATCCCAAAGGAAAACGTAAAGAGTTATGAAATTCAAGGATTTATTACACACTGAGAAGCAATTGCATTAACAATGAAAAGAAGGATTTTTAGATTTGAAATAAGCATACTAAAAGCTAGTAGCATCCACCACCTGACGGGTGGCTCAAGTGGTGGGACTGAGGAGTCTACAAGTTTGAGGTTCTTAGCTTGGCAACTTCTATTTGCTGCTCAGGCAGTCCACATTATTACAATCAGATTTAAACCATCCTGTTTTTGAAAAGAAAAGAAACATGACTCGTCCTTTTTTTTTTTCCAAAAAAAAAAAAGAAAAAACATGATCATCCCGTTTTATAAAAAAAAAAATAAGAAAACATTGGTAGAATCTTGGAACCTTCTCTTGGGGTCAATTATACACTGAAGTGAAGACTGTTTACACTTTACCACATCTGGTTCTAATCTTCTTCCCCCGCCATTCTTTCTACTAGTTGATAGACTGTTGGTTTAATGATCCAGACTTCTTCTTTATGCAGTTGTCCTTGATACACCGTTGGATTACAGTCTAGATGACTGCATTGAGTACATTCAAGAGGATGAGATGGTGGAGGTTACTCCATTGAGTATTCGAATATGCAAAAATCCAAAATTTGCAAAGAAGACAACTAGGTAAACATGTTGGTGAGCTGATTATGGCCAGTGGACATGCAAGTCGAACTTCTCCCAAGAGCCAATCCCAATATATGATACAGCCACATTTTTCTCTTGTTTTGCAATTAAAGTCCATCTTACTTCTTGCTTGGTTCATACGATCTGCTGTTTCTCTCGCATCAGCATTTGAAGCTCCCTTCTAGGCAATGATTCATATACCTCGACCCATGTGGAGATGTGAAGGGAATTAAATTTTGCTTTTGGTACAATTGCTGTATATAATAATAGGAGATTTTCGTGTTGTATCTCTTATAATAATGATCCTATAGCAAATTATATATGTTGCTACAAGAGCACATGATTTACGACCTGTTTACACTGCAAAAGTGGGAAAATTTTACGGATGTCAAATTTCTGTACTCTCGGAGTAACAATTTTGTTCTCTCTATTAGCAAGAAGCATAAAAAGAAGAGTTGAGGATGCCTTAGTGTTGGTTTATTTCATCTGCTAGATGATAAAGGTCGGTGTTTTTCTAATGTTTTTCTGGGTAACAGTTTTGTTTATGAAAATTCGTTTCGACTTTTTTATTTATTTTACTCGGTGAGATAATAAAGCTTTCTCGTAAAATGAGGACGATGAGTTTTTGGATTATTTTAAGTAGAATTGGGGAATACAGTGTCTTGGTTTCAGCCGAAATTATGAAGATAATTGTAAATTTTTAAATGAATTCCACAAACAAATATATTTCATTCCAAAAAAAAGGCCTTGGCACGAACAAATGATTGAACTGTTCGTTTGTTAGTGCATGCATAAATACACGCGTATGCACGTAATAAAAGGAAAGCCTGGTTATTCAGCTTTCGAACTGCTACTCTCTCTACTTGGTGAGACCGACCAAGTCTGGTCATACAACTTGAAAAACTCGTGTTTTTAACGAACTTGTTTTAGCACAGGAACCAATCCATCACGTGAACCCAAAGACTTTTCTTCCCTCCTAATTTTCATTCACTCTTCTCTTCTCTTCTCCTCTGTTGACCTTCTAGTCCTTAGCGTTATCAAACAAATCCCACATTATCTCATCAATCACACAATGACCATCGTGATTGTTTTTCTACTTAAAAATCATTCAAAAAACACAAAATTTTAATATAATTTGACGGGATTACAGTAATAAAATTGAAATAAATTTGAGCAAAAAAATATTTTTATCGATTAAATTTTCTTAATTGCAATAATTATAACGGATTAAAAATTCGACCCAACATTAATTTTTTCATTGAAAATAATTATTTTATATCAAACCAAATATGACGAAGCAGACATCTAATTTTTCAAGTCATTTTTCTCTGGCCACACAAACAATTGGAGGAGTGAAAGGCGGATTCATCGGTCTTCTTTCCTCATTCAATTTCTTCTAGACTCGGCATCACGGGTGGTAGTCAAATGGAACATGTTCCTTCTCTTAAAATCAACCCAACAACATCTAAACTTGATTAACCCAAAACATAATAACGCCGAGAGCGGATTCAACCACGACTATTAGCTCTCATTCATCTAAGTCAAATTTACATTATATTATTTAATTTATAATTTATTTTCTTGAACTTTGACGTCCATGCAGCATTCTTACAGAAATATATATATATATATGTGTATATGTATTTATTTATATTCTACCTTCTCCCTATATTTTTCTGTCTTATTAATCATAAGTTGTCAACTGTAAGAGCTGGTCATGGCTGAACGTGGAAGGCAGGCAGTCGGGGCACAATTAAAATTATTTGTTTAATATTTCAAAAAATATTTTAGATTAAATATACACTTCAAATTTAGAATCTCACAGTTTTTAGATTGTAGTATAATCTCATAAAAATAAATAAATATACCATTTTCTTTTTTTTTTTTTAAAAACACGGTTCAAAATTTCTTAATTTTAAATGTAAATTATTTTTACATAATATTTTTTTATTTGAAAATTATTTTTGTCGAATCTAAGTATACCTATCTATATATATATATATATATATTTGAACCTAGTAGTGTATTTGTTGCTTGATAACCCAACCAGAATTCAACAAAACAAAACCTGATTTTTCAAGTTATGATGATGATTCCAAGTTTCATCTTTTCATAATTTTTCTTCTCTCTTTTTCATGATAACTAAAGTGATATAATCATTATAAAATAATATTTCGGGTAATTATTTATTTATTATATATAATTGAATAATAATATTATATTAATAAATTATTACTATTATTATTAATTTAAAAATAATTATTAATTAATAAAAGAGGGACCCACCAATTTTCTGCAATAGGCCAATCCGGCGCTTTGGAAAGTCAAAATCGTCGACTTTGACCACCAAACACAAAAGGAGGCGGTGCTTTTCATGCGTATTGACTTTTTGTCAATTTACTAAATTACCCTTCGTCCGTCCAATCTTTACGGAAACTCCCCGTACGAACCAGCTTTTCTTTTTTTGTTGTAAGAGGACGAAAATAACCCTGATAATTAAGAAATTTACCATTTATACCCTTTTTTAAAATTGGTCTCGGCTATAATTTAATTATTTAAAATTTAAAATTAAAGTGGCGCCGTTTGAACAATTTGACAGTTAGTCTAAATAATTAGGTGTGGCTAAGCTTCCAGATGATCTTACCTGTACAGTGCTTATCCAATAGGAACATGCCACGTAACCAGAACCTAACTGAGTCCACCAACTACTCGGCATCGTCGGCGTTGACTGACACCCACACCCCCCTGTGGTAAAATTACCAATTTAGACCCGCCTAATAGATATTTTTTTAACTTATTAATTTTACTAAATATACTGAAATTAAATAAAAAAAACTATTTGAAAAATCAATGGATGAATTTCCTTATCTACCCTTAGTTTTCCTTTTAATTACAAAAATACCTCTACCTTTATTTATTTATTTATTTTAATTGTTTGCTTTTTGGGTTAGTTATGTTATAAAAAAAAAATAATAATGGTTAATTTTCATGGAGTATTATTATCCACATATTTTTGAACTATTTGGAAACCTAATTTTGTTTTTAAAAAATAAAACTAATTTTGTTTTAAATTTAAATTTTCTATTATTTGAGTTATATATATATATAAATATAAACATATAAATGGTGGGTAAAATAAATAAATATTTAATAATAAATAATTTTAAAATTTAAATATAGAGAATAATACGTAATAATTTAAGTAGAAAAATCGAAAGAAAATAAAAATATATATAAAAATTTATTAGTAGGTTGTTTTATATATTTTAATATGGGTATTAATTATTTTTGTATATTTTAAAATTAAAATTTATTTTTTCTTACGTGAATAAGGTTGTTTTGAAATAATTTAATAATTATGGTGTTTTATTCTCAAAATAGAAGGTGACGAAACTTATTAACGTGGGAGGGGTATTGATGTAATTTTATCAGGGGAATGACAGGGATAAAATATATATAATTAGTAAAATATAGGATATTACAGCTTTTTAATAAATAAATAAATAAATAGTAGAAATCTGATTAGGATATTTTAGGAAAATAACAAGGAAGGCTTCTCTGTCAGTGAATGAAGAAGAGAAAATTAAAAGAAAAAAGAGGAAGGGGATTAGGAGGGAAGTCTCTGCGAAAGAGGTTTGACCCTCTCTATCTCTCTGTCTCCTTCTCCTTCGCTCTAAAAATCAATCAATCAATCAATCAATGGTGGTTGGCTTCTTCGTCATCTTCTTATTCCCACGCTAAATTCCATTTTTCATCCACTTTCCATTCTCTTTCTCTTTTTGTTTCCGTATATATATGTGTGTGTGTGTGTTTACGTATCTTCGTTTCTCCTTGTAATTTACCATCTCTAGACAAACTAGCGCTGGATCTTTCTTCTTTCACGGAAACTATTCGAATTTTGGAAAGCTTCTATTAGTATTCCTTGTTGGGGGTAGTTCGTCTAATTGGTGGGTCTATTGGTATCTGAGGATTTTGAAGCTGGATCTTCGGATTTGTTAGCTAATATCAACCGCGTGATCCTCTGTTTTTTTTTTTCTGGTTAGAAAATCGGATTTGGATTTGATTTTTCATCGGTTCTGTTTAAAGCGGTGATACGCACTTCGCCAAAGGGTACTAGTAGGTTGGAGATCGTGTCTGATTGATGGGAAATTGCTGTGCGACACCGTCGACGGGCACCCACGAGAGAAAGAAAGGAAAGAAGAAACAGAACCCGTTCTCGATCGATTACGGCCAAAATCAACATGGAAATGGTGGCCACAAGCTCATTGTTTTGAAGAACCCAACCGGCCGCGAGATCGGGCTCAAGTACGAGCTAGGTCGTGAGCTCGGGCGTGGGGAGTTCGGGGTAACATACCTCTGCACGGACAAGGAAACCGGCGATACTTTCGCCTGCAAATCAATATCGAAGAAGAAGTTGAGAACCGCCGTGGACATAGAGGATGTAAGGAGAGAAGTGGAGATCATGAGGCATTTGCCTAAGCACCCAAACATCGTGAGCTTGAAAGACACTTACGAGGACGATAATGCGGTTCATTTGGTTATGGAATTGTGCGAGGGCGGTGAATTGTTCGATAGGATCGTCGCTAGAGGGCATTATACGGAGAGAGCAGCTGCTGTGGTCACAAAGACCATCGTGGAGGTTGTTCAGGTGAATGGTTGGTTTTTGTATTTGTTATTGATCTGGTTATTTAGTGTTTGCTTATTTATTTTTTGTTTTTGATCGATGTGGGTGTCATTTAAACGATGAATTCTCTTAATTTTTTAAATTTTTTTAGGATTTGGATTTGTTTTAAATTCCGTGATGTGCGTATGCAAATCTATGACTAAATCCCGAAGAGTTACTATTAAGAAATTTGTTCTTTTTGGCTAAAATAGTTTGATTATGAGGATTTAAATGGTAAAATGAAGTTCACTGCACGAAACAAGCGTTTATTTTCCTTGAAGTAACTATTCCAACTTATTGTTAGGCAATCTTATCATGGATTTTTTCATGTTTGGTGATCTTGATGTTGTGATGCCTGTACATAGTTTACTGGAGTGGTAATCACGCATGCTATAGTTGTAGTTGTAGACTTTTCTGTTAAAATGGAAATGTAAGCCTTTTCTGCACATATACCCTTGGTTCTGTACAGTTCACTTGAGTAAAATCCTAAATTATCTTTTCTTGAATTATTGAGAATATTTTTTCCTAATGATTTATATTATTTGTGCTTCATCCCTATCAATGTTAATGTTCTTACCCAATCTTTCTATTGTGGAATTGCCATGAAATTGTCATTTGGCTCGTGAGAAATAGATGTTCTTTATCTTATGGGTTATCCACCCAAACTCATCTTTGGGTTTTACCCTCTTGAATTTACTTATTTTTTGCTTGTCTTGTAATTTCTTTCTTGATGGGAAGGTCTAGTGGGAAGGAACTGTTGGTTGTAGAAATGTTTTATGATCCATTTTGCATTATGCTATCGCTTATGTAATGGTAGTGCTTTCCATTTTCTTATCAAATCCTACATTTTTCATGGTAGAATACCAGGAACAGAATTTTTCTAATTTTTATCTCTCTTGCCTGCATTTATTTGTGTGCTTTGTCTCATTTGTTTCTACGAGACTTTAAGGAGCTCAACTCTCTTTCCAGTAGTGATTTCAAATTTTTTCTCTCATGTCTTCAGCAACCTGTTTGGCCTTGTCATTTCTGTCGTTATACCATATATTCTGAAAACTGAGGTGCAATGGGTTAATTTTCTTGTTTGTTTTCTGAATACTGAATGCATTTTTTCATGGAAGTAATTAGCTGTGCTTAGATTATTTAAACCTGAGTTCTGGTTGATACTTGATTGTTATGCTCTTTCGTGTGTTCTTTTCACTCAATGTGGCTTTTTCTTTTTAATAGAACAAAGGGTTTGAATGTGCTTTTCTGTCTTGGGTTTAACCTTGTCCTGTTATGTTTCAGATGTGCCACAAGCACGGGGTGATGCACCGCGACTTGAAGCCTGAAAACTTTTTGTTTGGCAACAAGAAGGAGACTGCTCCTTTAAAGGCTATTGACTTCGGGTTGTCAGTTTTCTTTAAACCTGGTAAATTCTGGTCACTGCATTCGATATTTTCTCGTTTCTTTTTGTTATTTTGGATTTCTCTTTAATGGACATAAGCTGAATTTGGACCTGTTTTCTTCAGGTGAAAGATTTACTGAGATTGTTGGAAGTCCATACTACATGGCCCCTGAGGTGCTAAAACGAAACTACGGCCCTGAAGTTGATGTTTGGAGTGCTGGTGTAATCCTTTACATCTTACTTTGTGGTGTCCCACCTTTCTGGGCAGGTTAGTTTTTGTTTGATTGTTAAGGTCTCACGAATGTAACATTAGCAAAGAAAGGAAAGGATCTAGAAGATCATCGGTGCAGTTCTCATGCAAGATGGTTTTTCTTTGATGCATGTGGGAAATGGTCCATGGATAATCGTAGCTACATGCATGCATGTGAAAGTATGCGTATGGATATAAAATACTTGTGTAGCTTTAGATGAGATTTACGAAGGGGTAATATTTCCTGGCCAGTAAAAGCCATTACAAAAAATTTATGCTCTGCTTTTAAATTGATTAAATATCTGCGTTTTCCATCTTTCCTTTGTTTCTGATTTTATTTTATCAATGTCTTCTTTCTTTCCTTATAGAAACTGAGCAAGGAGTTGCACAAGCAATTATTCGGTCAGTCATAGATTTTAAGAGGGACCCTTGGCCTAAAGTTTCTGATAATGCTAAAGATCTTGTGAGGAAGATGCTTGATCCAGATCCTAAGCAGCGGCTTACAGCTCAGCAAGTGCTCGGTAATATTGAGTTTAAATCTATGCAATGGTTTTGCACCATCTATGGAGCAACTCTCAAATTTTATAGGTTTACTGTCTCTGGACTTCCTGAAACTGAATGTAATAACAGATGCACCTTCATTGTGCTTGCTCATTATGTGCAGATCATCCATGGCTGCAAAATGCAAAGAAAGCTCCAAATGTTTCCTTGGGCGAAACTGTGAGAGCTAGGCTTAAGCAATTCTCTGTAATGAACAAACTCAAGAAAAGAGCTCTAAGGGTAATGTTTCAAATATTTTTCAGATGTAATGAAAATACAGTGATTTACTGTTTCGTTGCTAAATGATATTTTCTGGCTTCACTTTTTATGCCACTCCCTTTGGAGTCCTTAAATTGCGATGTTAATTTATCTTCTGAAATATCAAATTTACAGGTAATAGCTGAGCATCTATCTGTAGAAGAAGTTGCAGGCATAAAGGAGGGGTTCCAATTGATGGATATTAACAATAAGGGCAAGATTAGTATTGATGAGCTAAGAGTTGGGTTGCAAAAGCTTGGACATCAAATTCCCGATGATGATCTTCAAATCCTAATGGAAGCTGTAAGTTCCAAGTTTCATTATGTATTATAATTCTTTCCCCAATGTTCGGATTTGATTTTTAATTGCAGGGCTTGAAGTTATTACTGCCTATTACCTAATTTAGGTTGGTAGTTCAGAATTATACAATCATGGCTAGAACTAAGTATCTTAAACTGGAAGCCTTTTGAAAATGACTTATTGTATAGACACCCAGGTATTGCTTTTCAGTATTTGACTCCTTGATTCTGGTCAATCTACTTCTGTAAATTTTGATTATGAAACTAGCCAATAGAGGTGCCAAACATGAAGATATAATGCCAGTCAGTTGCCAATCTTTTCCAGCAGAGAGAAGAGGAGCCTGATTAAAATAATGAACTAAAGTAGACAGTTCTTATTACAGGGTGATGTGGACAAGGATGGATGTCTGGATTACGGGGAGTTTGTAGCCATCTCAGTTCATCTTAGGAAGATGGGCAATGACGATCATCTTCGCAAGGCCTTTGAATTTTTTGATCGCAATCAAAATGGATATATAGAAATTGAGGAACTGAGAGATACCTTGGCTGATGAAGTTGATACAAACAATGAAGAAGTCATTAATGCCATTATTCATGATGTAGACACAGACAAGGTCAGCATATATATTATCTATGTATATTTATATTCAATTGTGTTTTTCCATTTCTTTTTAACTTTCACCAGTTTGGTTCAAATCTCATTTCATTTCAAAATAATTTTCACCTCTAGTTTTCTTTTATTCCTAACATATAAAATTATAAATATGTTTCACTTTTCACCCACACCTTGAATTTTTTAAAACTTAGAATTTGTTTCCCACTTCACTAAGTATAGATTTTCCACTTGCAAACAATTTCAGGTGAGAGGAGGGCTGAAATTAACCATTTAAATAATGTTCTAATTCTACATGTCAACACTAATTGAAGATAAAAGTGGAAATTACGTGGGAATGAAATGAGAGTTGAATCAAAAGTAACTTTTAGACTTTATGCAAAGCATTATTCAAAATTGAGAATGGGAAGAGTAGTCAAGTTTTTAAAGATAGAAAGGAAAGGGTAGATATATAGTCAGCCTTGGTTTCCTTTTAGTATAAGAACCTATATATAGACAAGAACTTTAAAATGCTATTTTAAGGTTTCCCTTCAACCCCATCGAAGAAAGAAAATCCAATAAATGATGCTTGATCTTTTGCATGCTTGGGGTTTGACTAATCAGACATCCTTTTTCAAAAACTTGCAGGATGGAAGAATAAGTTACGATGAATTTGCAGCAATGATGAAGGCCGGTACAGATTGGAGGAAAGCTTCAAGGCAATATTCGCGAGAACGGTTCAATAATCTTAGTCTGAAATTGATGAAAGATGGATCGTTGCAATTGCAAAACGAGATTAGATCATGACCCGACAGAGGACAAAAGTTTATCTGTGAAGGAAGTAAATTACCCAGAAAACATGAAAAGATGTGTTGATTTTGATAATTCATTTTTTAAACATCTGTTAATTTCTTTTAAATCTTTCTCAAGACCCACTTGTGGGTTTTACTTAGGATTTAAGCCAAGGATGTTTGATGTATTTCTGAACTGCAGTATGCTTCTTTACTTTGTTGTGAGAAAAAATTGAGGGAGTTTGGAGGCTGTATGCATGTGGCTGTAAATATTATTCTCAAATTGGCATAAACTTGTATCGAAGTCATCATCTTCCTTTTTCATACCCATCTTCTTTTATATCATACTTCTTTTACAAAACATTAGTCACCAATTTTATATAATGACTCAGTTCTAGGGTTTGGCTGTTTATCAATTCTAAATTTGCTTTAATTTAGAAGAAGATAAAATTAATTTTATATTGGACTCTTTTTGTACACTTCTCAATGAATTTCTTTAATCCCAAAAACAAATTCCAATGCATAAATTTCCCTTGAAAATTTATTAAAAAAATTAATTTGACTGATTTAAAAATATGTTTTTAAACTTAGTTAATAAAATATATGTAACTAAATACTGATTTTACATATATTTGATATATTTTTCAATAATTTTGGTTCGCATACTTTAAGTTTACTTTAGCCTTCAAAACTTATTGTATCGTACTTGAAGACCTTTCATTCATCCACATCTCCTGTGACTCTAATGAAGCTTGTAAATCATTAAGAGTCGTGGTATTCAAGTTTTTACACTCTTTAATGGTTGTCACTACGTAAATAATCTTCTCTATGAATTCTCTTTCATTTATCTGGTCTCTGTTATTTTTTATCTTATTTATTAGTTTCTCCATTCATGAAAAATAATCACGAATACTTTCATTTTTTCTTTACTCCATTAGTTTGAACTATCTTTTCAATAATTGTAGTCGTGTTTGTTTGACCGGATCTGCACCTTCATATACTTAGAGCAAAATATTCCAAGATTCTTTTATTGTTTTAACATCGAACATGAAAAATTAATTACCACCTTGTCGAATTTGGACGTCTGGTTTTGAAGCGGAGGCCATATTGATTGAATCTTATGTTTTGATATCAAATATTGGCAATTTAATTTTATCGTAATTGTCAAGAAAATGAATTTGATAATCAAACGAACGCTCAAAATTTTATTTATAAAAAAAATATAAATTTTACATAACTTACTAGATAAAATTTCACAATCACAAACTCGTTATACATTAATTTATTGAAACTAATAAATCTCATTTATTTCTTTTACCTCACGGTCTCTAATAATTTTTTTTCTTCGTATTTGTCTTTAATTTTTTCTTATGTCTACAAACTATATATATAAGTTACAAAGTTGACGTCTCGCATTCTCGTTTTTTTTATTGTTGTCGTTTTGATAATCAAACAAACACTTGAAATTTTATTATAGAAAAAACATAAATTTTACATCACTTATAAGCTATTATAATTGTAGCAAAATGAACGCTATGATGTTTGTGAATATTGTTTTATTACATACACCAGAAAATATGAATTTAAATGTTGACTTTCTTGGATTTATATAATTTACAATAAATATATTGAACATCGTCACCGATAAATGAGATTGAGTTCGACGAATATGGATGTTTGCACCGACTTGATCTTAGAAGAGAATAGAATGAGTTACACTAGTGAGTTTGCGATTACTGTACCTCCCGAAAAGCTCGTACGATCATATTAAAACTTGCCTAAATAATTTCAATGTTATATCTATTGAAGTACCAAAGGCGAACAGAGATCCTCAAATTCTCGATTGAGGGATTAAGTGATAGATCGATCGACGTCCAAAAAACGTTGTTGCTTATTGACTTCTTATCTTTTTTTTCCGAAAACTTAATTATCACATCGAAAGAATAGGGTGAAGTTTTTAATACGATTCTGCTATTTTATTTAAGAAAATTTAATTGCTATAAAATATTTTTTAATAAAAAATATAATAGAATTATAAATATTTAAATTAATTTAATTACAATAATTTTAGCAATACATTATGAAGTTAATTTTTAGATAAATTAATAAAAATAACTTTTTGTAAATAATCAACTTACTACATTGAATTAAATATAAGTAATTAAAATTAATAAATTATAAGCAAAAAATATGTCAATTTTGTGACGAATATTATAAATTATATATTGTATCAATCGGTCAAAATTGGAAATTTAATTGAAACCTAGAATATTTTGTATATTATTTTTGCATTATATCGAATTTACTAATTATTCTGACTGAATATTTGATCCAATTATTTTATCATATTAAATAAATATAACTTTATTTATATTTAAAAATTAAAAATATATTTATGATATAATACATTAACTTTATTAATAAAAATATAAATGTATTAATAACTAATAATAATAATGTATACATACTTATGATATTGGGTTTAAATAAATTTTATAAAATCAAACATAAACAGAACTCAATCACATTATTTTCTTGTAAAACCAAATTTAATTCTACCCAAACCCGCATTTTAATAATATCGAGTTAAGTTCATACGAATCGTATCACCCGGGCTAGAATACAAGATATCTAACCCTAATTATGACTTAATTTTCTGCAAGAGTCAGTTTTTTAATATCCAGCACACACTCTTAATCAACTGGTTAATATCCAGCTGAGGGAAAGTGTTGATATTCTCATATGGTTTCAGATGGAAAATCTGATCTTTTTGATGGTGTAAGTTCTCTCGGAAGTAACGAGTTTTCTCAGCGACATCGGGTCGCCAGCTGCAACAATTTCACTCAAGGTGAGAGGTTGTGAAAGGTATGGTGCTCTTTCCACACAGCGCCCAGTGAAATGAGTTCTGCGGAATTATTAAACCGATTTCAATTACAGCATTTCCACTGGGCTGCTGATACCGTCTCTGCCAGTTCCACAACAGGAGGCATATCGAAGGACAATAGATATACAAGGCTAGGTTGATGGCAAAATCCGGTGGCCTATAGATATACAAATCTAATTTGATGGCAAAGTCCGGTCAGTTAGCCGCGATATTGAAGTCTTAAACTTTCCGTAATCACAATTGAAAAGAACTATTTCTAGCATTCAAGAGGAAAAACCCAGGATGAAATTATACTATATCACCTTAAGTTGAAATTCAAGTCATTCTGAGGTTGTACTCAATTTATATCTACTTACTAGTTACTACACAATATCATAATAGGCGGAATTTA